GCCAGGACAGGATGATGGTTTCCAGTCCCACTTCCGGATCCAGTCCCTCACATGGCCTATTGTTTTTGCGTACAACCAGAAAAGCACTATTTATCATTCCAAATATCGATGTCATCCATGCTACTTGGCTCATTCCAAATTACATTCAGGACGAAATAGAGCTATTTTTTTGGAACTGACTCTGTGTACCATATCTGAATACTCTTGATATTGGAATTAGCCTTTATTCATTCTTCATATTACCAAAACATAGGCATACACAGACATGTGTGATTCTTCCCATCTAGATATCTTTGCTCAGTTGTATCTATGGATATACATACTTCTTACCCTTCCAGACTCCTTCTTGGGGCCTTCCCAAGAGATCTCTGGGGGTTCTCCTTGCAACCCAGGAGGCCAGGAAGTATGTTTTACACATGCTGGAGCCACTTTTTCTTTCCCCAGGTGTGACCTGCCCAGTGCTGGGTTTAGAGTGCCCATTCAAAAACCAGACAACCAATCTCACTAAAAATAGTGGAACTTTTCTCAGGTCCACCCATGCTGTTGCAAATGGTAAGAGTTCTTCCTTTTTTATAACTGCGTACTATTCCATTGTGTAAGTGCACCACAGCTTTTTTTTTTAAATACATTCATCTGCTTTGTGTGCTAAAACAGAAAGGGGGGCACTTGCATATGCATATATGCATAACCCATGGATACAGACAATAAGATGGTGAAGGCCTGGGGCGGGGGGAGCAGGCTAGAAGAGGTCAATGCGGGGGGAGAGGGGGCTTGGAGAGTGGATGTATATAATATTTTCAACAAAGATTTTTTTTAAATAATAAAATAGTAGAACTTCTTTCTAGAAGGGCAACTCTTCTTTGTATGCTAAAACAGAAAAAGGAATCCTCTACCCTCCTTCACAGCCACCAAGACAATGATACACTACGGCTTCTACCACAGCCTCCTAACGCTCTGTCTCCCTCTCTCTCTACATCCCAGTCTCCGCATACTCTCTGAAATACAAATCTGGCCCTGCACTTTGATACTGAAAACCTCCCTTAGCTCCCAAAGGAAATTCAGTGGAAATAATTAACATGGAGTACCAGCCCTTCGAAGTTTGGCCCCTAGAGCTTCTCAAAACTCATCTCCCTGAATTTTAGCCTCTGGCTTCAGTCATTTGGAAGAGCGCTCATCCAACACTTTCTCCCCCACTCCACCCCTCCATACTTTCACCAAAGCCAACTCCCACCCATCCTTTCCTTCTGAGATTTAGAAATCTGTTGTCCCTAGGAAGCCCGCCTTAAGCCACATAGAGAGGTGATCTTCCAATATGCTTCCATTGTGCCCAGGATTTACCCTCCACTAAAAGGAGTCATTTTATATAGATGGTCATTGCCTGTTAATTGCTGAAATGAATGTGTGTTTATGAGGAAAGGAACCATTCTCTTTTCTTTGCCTCTGTACCCAGCAAATACCTGGCAGAGTAGGTTGTTGTTGAATATTTATTGAATAAACTAGAGGCCCGGTGTACAAAATTGATTTATTGGGGGTTGGGGAGGGGTCCTCAGCCTGGTCTGCACCATCTCACAGACCAGGAACCCTCAGAAGATGTCTGACTGACAGCTTAGAGTGGGGAGGGGGCCTAAGCTGTCAGTCGGACATCTTTAGCTCTGTCACAAAGGCAGGAGAGGCTTCTGGTGAGCCTAGCTTCTGGTTGAGTGGCACTCCCCCTGTGGGAGCGCCCCGGCCACCAGGGGGCAGCTCCTGCATTGTGTGTCTGTCCCCTGGTGGTCAGTGCACGTCACAGTGACCGGACATTCAGCTATTCAGTTAATTTGCATATTAGCCTTTTATTATATAGGGTAACTGATTGAATAAGTAAATGAATGCTTTTTCTTTTGGAGTCAAATGTATTTCTGAACGGCACCCAATATCTGAACCTCTAGACTAGGGGTGTCGAACTCAATCAGAGAAGGGGCCAAAATCTAAAATCCAGCCTAAATCGCGGGCCGAATGGTTTACTGAACAGTCATAAACTGTCATTGTGATGGACACGCAGCAGAGTGCAGTGATGACAGTGCGGTGCGGGCCACATTGCAAGGCCTGGCGGGACGGATTTGGCCCGCGGGCCTTGTGTTTGACACATGTGCTCTAGACAAAGCAACGAGACTTGAGTGAAAAGGGACTTATCTTCCATTCTTATCTGACCTTGGTAGCTTGAAGAAAAGCCAAAATGTGTGACAGATTCCCCCAAGTCCAGATTGTGGGCAATTCAAACCATAGAACAGTGCCTACGATGACCATCCATGGACAATACCAGCAACTGTGCCCAGAGCCTGTATAAGGAACCGCCTTGCACAAAGATAAGAGGACACTGCCTGGGCCTTACGGCCTCAGCCCAGGGAGCAGCCTGGGGGAAGGGAATGTTTTTACAGGGCCAGTGTGATAACTCTCTTCTCCCTTCTCTGACCAGAAGGCTGTGGAGGGCAGTGCAAGAGATGCCAATGTGGAGCTCAGAGGAGCATGAGCAGAGAGGAGATGTATCTCCTCCCTCCAAGTCTGTTTGTTTAATATAGCAATACTGAATAACTACTCTACGGTGGGCACAGTGCTAGGCCCTGGGGATACAATGTGAATACATTCGCCAGCTGTCTTTCCTCCCTCCCTGCAGCTTACGGTCTAAAGGTGTACCTGGCAGTATTCAATCACATTCATTAATTTAATGTGCATCTTTAAATTACTTTAAAATAACTGGTTCAGGTTATCCTATATAGTCAAAGGCTAATGTGCACATCTACCAAACGGCTATGACACACACTGACCACCAGACGGCAGATGCTCAACACAGGAGCTAACCCCTGGTGGTCAGTGCGATCCCACAGGGGGAGCACCGCTCAGCCAGAAGCCAGGCTCAGAGCTGGCGAGTGCAGTGGCAGTGACAGGAGCATCTCCCACCTCCATGGCAGCAACTGCCAGCTTAGGCCTTCTCCCTAAGCTATCAGTCAGACATCCCCCAAGGGCTCCCGGACTGTGAGAGGGTACAGGCCATGCTGAGAGACCCTCCCTCCCTCCCTCCCAAGTGCATGGATTTTGCGCTCCAGGCCTCTAGTAGGTCTATAAAATAAGGGAATCCTCCCCAAAGAAGGCCTGGGAGGCTCCCTGGAGGAGGTAACCAAAGGAGTAAGTCCTGTCCTGCCTTTGTGCAAGGGGTGAACAGGAGGACATTAGACACCCAGGGGGGTTGAAGTTCAGGAGAAGAAATAGCCTTCCCATCTTCACTCAGTTCAAGAACCAATTCAACCAAGTTCAGTTCCATAGGTTCCATCTGCTGCTCTTCAACCCACATCTATATTCTACTTACAGAAAAACGAGGCTGTGGTGTGGACTTTTGTGTGGGGACTGCCCATAGGAAATGCAGACTGCAGTGAGAGGCTGGGGGACCCACCCCTCGTCTAGTCACCCAAGTTCTGATCACTCACCATCCTCATTTGAAGAACTGCAAGGCATGAGGGACAAGTTCCTCTCCAACTGGGACCCAGTGCTGCAGGGAAAGAGGAGCCAGTGCGAGGCCAGGTGCCCAGACAGAAGGAACTGACCCCCTATTTCAGGAAGAGCCTGGCGCAGCAGCTATATTTGAAAATCGAGGTAAATAAGAGCTCGGCTCAAGCGGATGGGACACAACAGCTGTGGAAGATTAATCACATGAAGCTGTAAGTCACCAGGTCGCCAGGGGCCCCGGGCTTCCCTCTCGGTGCCCCAGCAGTGGGCCAGCTGTGCTCCTCGCACCCACCCCCAACTCCCTCCTCTTGGGTGTTTCTTGACCACCTAGGAGCTCTACACCTTGCTCCCTCCCAGCTGCGGCCTGCGTTTGGGTGGGGGGGGGTGGGCGGGAATGGTCCCTAATTTCAGTCCTTCTGCCCAGGAAACAGACCACCAAAACCTTCTGTGTTTGCTTTTCAATCGTCTGAGGGGAGAGAACCAAGGAGAAGGGGGACCAGGCGAGCAGCGAGCCAGTAAATTTATGGCACTGCATTAAAGGCGTTTGTGCTATTTAACCACACTCAAACCCTCCTAGGTTAAAAATAAAACACGGTGGATAAAGACGAAAAGCTTCTTTTTCCCCCCTGGATTAAATGGCTTTCTTTATGTCCTCCAATGGCTTGGGCACTCAAGGGAGGTCAGGCAGGGTCTGCAGGAGCAGATCTAGCTTCTGAATGAGGGCGTGTGTACGTGTGCGTGTGCGTGTGCGTGTGTGTGTGTGTGAGTGTGTGTGTGTGTGTGTGATGCAGGGAGCGGGTGGTGGAGGGGTAGTTACATACTTCGCTTCTCTCCACCTGGCCCGGGACCGCCCAGACCACCGCCGTCTGGAGGGCACGGAACCGGAGACCCTCCTCCTCTCCGCGCCTAGGCCGCCGCGGGGAGGGGGGGGGAGGGGGGCGGCGGGGGGAGCCCGGCGGGCGCGCTGGGGTCGCAGTTCCCGACCCGCCGCCGCCGCGGGGTCCGGACGTTGGGGGGCGCGCGTGCCGGTGTGCACGCGGGCGCGCGCCTGCTGGATGAACGCGCCCCCCTCCAGGCCCCCACGCCCGCGGGCACTCGGCGCCTCCGGGGCACCGCACGCCTGGCACAGCCAGCACACACGCATCCGGCGCGCAGCACAGCAGGCTGCCTCCCACTGCGCACCCGCCACCTGCCCGGCCGCACACACATGGCCAGGCACCTCCAGCTCCGCCGCTTCCTCCCTCACCCCTCACCCCTGCTAGACTCTCTGCCAGAAGCGCACACCCCCCACCCCCAACACCGCATCCCAAACGTACACTTTCCGGGGCGCCCTCCCCCACCTCGTCAGGCACTAAGACCCTCGGGAAGACAGTGCCTATGGATGGAGACAGAACTTAATTAACACCATTCTTCACGAGCTGGAGAGCCCTCTTGGGGACACGCTCAAGCCGCCAACCTCTGCCTCCCCTGCCTCGGCCACCCGCTGCGGGGGAAGGGCAAGAGGCTCACCCGTTACTCACCGTGTCTTCCCGGTCGGTCCCCCCGAGCGGAGTGGACAAATGAAGGGGGGAGGAAGGCGTGCGAAGCCCCCCTCGGCCGGGCTCCTCACCGGCGGCCGCCGCCGCTCATCGCCCCCGCGGGCTGCCCGCCGGCCGCAGCCGCGTCCGGGGCATGTCAGTCGGCCGCCGGCTGCCGCGGCTCGTGGGCTCGCAGCTGTCAGCGGGCTGCGGGGCAGCGCATCTGGAGCGCGAGGGCCGGGCTGGGGCTGGGGCCGGGGCGGGGCACGTGGGGAGGGGTCCCTCGGCGCGGATCTCAGGAGCAGGGAAAACCCGCCCAAGACCCCGCCGCAAACCCCCGACCCCGGGCTCCGGACTAAGCCCGGGAGAGGCCCGGAGTCCCGGCCGCCGGCTGCAGGGGATCCCTGCCTGCCGGGAGGGGCAGGAAGGCGGGCAGCCGGCGCGTACCCGTGGCTCCGAGGGACCCCCCGGATTGCAGGCGCGGCGCCGGGGTTTCCCGGAGCTGGGAGAGCGCCGGCTCCCCTCCTCGCGCGCCGTCACCGCGAGCGACGTCTCGGCCTCGCCGCGCACGGAGGGGACGCGCGGAGGGGCTGGCTTCTGGGAGAGCCGAGAGCTTTGCCCACTAAGCTGCAGCAAGAAGCCAAATCAAAAAGCCAATCTCTGAGCCCGCACGGCGAGCGTCACCCTATCAGCTGGGAGAGAGCGCGCTGCGCGCAGTGACAAGCCGCGCGTCCGCATCCTCGCCTGGCCGTGGGGGGAATTTTCAGATCGCTCCCCGGCCGGCGGGGTGGAAGTCCAGCCTGCACCTCGTTGAGTCCAGAGAGACCCGAGGACGAATGCAGACACCACTCCTCGCCCGGGCCGCCCACCCATCCGTCGGAGCCTGGCGCCCCGCTCCTCCCGGCCAGCGGTGCTTGGGAGACGGCGGCGCGTCCTGACCTGGATTCCTCCGAGTCCCGAGCTCCGGGCAGCCGGCAGGGAGGGCGGGCAATGGGCGCGCGGCACCGGCTTTCCCCTTGTCCTTAGGAGACGCCGTCTGCAATTCCAATTCCAAAATTGAGTTTTCCACCAAACGTCTGTGGTTTTTTAAATATAGCAGGGGGACGATTACCCAAGCGGGGTCCACCCAGGCCTAGGAGGGAGGAGTTGAGGAGGGTGGAGGTTGGCAGTGGAGGGAAAATAAAACTCCTTTCCTCTTCCCCCCTCCCACCCGCTGCTGTTCTTGGTGCAGAACTCAGTCTGTCATTTTCTCAACCCAAATCAAACAACAGCTTGTGAGAGACGCTTGGGTGAGCGCTGGTATGTTTTGGTTTGGGGTTTTTAAGGCTAAAAATAAGAGGGGGCTGCCTCCCAAATTGCTGCTTACTCTGAGCCTGGAGCCTGGAAGAGAGATGGTCCTTTGATGCAGCAGCAGAACTAGGGTTTGGGGCTTGGCTCGGACGAAGTGTACACAAGTAGCCTTACATCAGATGCCTGTAATTTCTGCTATATTTGTCAGGCGTGGTCCTGGAGGCGGGCAGGCCCCTCCTAAGAGTGGGGTTTCACCTCCCTAGGACATCGATGGCGTTACACAGATATAAAATGATCATGATGGCTGCCCTTTTGTAGAGACACCCTATGCAGATTCTGGGACAGAATATAAGAGGGGGACTTTGTTTCTCTCAGGCCTCTGCTATCTAAACCAAGTGTGCGGGGCCAAAACAATACTTCCCAATTACCAGCACCTCTTTAGGGCCCGGAGCTTTGCTACTGAATTTATTCAACTCTTGCTAAAGGCGGAGTGACTTATGCGTGTTCTCTGCGTTCTGGGTAGACTGAAATAACAAAACCCAACTCAACATACTGAGCCTCTGTGTCCTCACCAGTAAGATGCGAGTAATAATAACATCCACCTCAAGGAGTTGTGAAGATTCAGTGAGATTACAGTCGAGTATAGAGTAATTCCCAAGTATGTGAATTCTCTTTCTCCTCCCAACCCTGCTTCTCTCCCACTGGAAGTCCTACACCCGACTTCCTCCTGTGTTCACTACATGGAGTTTCTCATCTATTTCCTCCTCTCTACTACATGCATGCAGGGCTGGAAAACAGTAAATTTGATGACAGTTGGCCTTTGATTTCTGCCATTATTTATTCCTTTATTTCTGGTTGTGCTAGAATTCAAGAGGATTGTCGCAGGAAAGCCAGCAAGCAAACCACTGACAGTCAGCATTCAGAGCAAGAGCCACAAACTTCATTTTAAGCTGGGAGGACACTGATGCCCAAAGAAGGGAGGGGATTCGATCCAATCAAAGAACCCTACAAGGGTAGAATCTGTTATGGGCTGAACTGTGCTGCCCCTCCCCACCCCCAAATGTGTATGTTGAAGTGGTAACCTCCAATAGCTCAGAAAGTGACTGCAAAGGGTAATTAAGTTAAAGTGGGGTTGTTATGGTGCACCCCCACTGAATGACTGGTGTCCACGCAGACAGAGGGACGACCATGTCAAAATAAAGCAGGAAGCCAGCCATCTGCAAGCTGAGAAGAGAGGCTTCAGAAGAAACCAAGCCTGCTGGTTCCTTGATCTTAGACTTCTAACCTCCAGAGAGTAAGTAAATAAGTTTCTGTTTTTAAGCCACCCAGTCAGCGGTAATTTGTTATGGCAGCCCTAGCAGGCTAATACAGAGTCCAAGTATTCTGGCTGATTCTATGAGTCCTTAATTAGACTCCAACTTCAAGGAGTTACCTAGGGTTATTTGGAATCTTGAAACAGGCTGGATTTTATAATTTAACAAAAAGGAAGCAAGGACACCAGCTCTTATTGGATGCTTGCTATGACCCTGTACTATGTGTTGTTGTTTTAAATATATTTTTATTGACTTCAGAGAGAAAGGGAGAGGAAGAGAGAGTTAGAAACATCAATGATGAGAGAGAATCATTGATCGGCTACCTCCTGCACACCTCCTACTGGGAATCCAGCCCGCAATCAGGCATGTGCCCTTGACAGGAATCGAATCCGGGACCCTTCAGTCCTCAGGCCAGCACTCTGCTCACTGAGCCAAATCAGCTAGGGCTGTACTATCTGTTTTTACATGTATTGTTTCACTCAACAAAAACAAATTTATGGAACACCTTCTATGTGCCAAATACTATTCTAGTGTGGGGATAAAACTGAATAATGAAGATAAAAATCCCTGCCCTCATGGAACCTATATTTTTAAATCTTTTTAAAATTCTAGAGCATGAATGGACCTGAAAAGTATTATGCGAAGCAAAATAAACCAGGCAGACAAAGTATCACATGATCTCACTCACATATGAAATCTAATCCTACCTAATAAGAATAATATGCAAATTAATCATCACTCCACTACACCCTTAAGCCATGCCCGCCAGCCAATCTGGAGCAAATATGCAAATAAACCCAGATAAGATGGCTACAGCCACAGAGAGCAGGAGGGAGGTCTGGTTTCCCCGGCAATGGAAGAAGCCAAGCTTTCTGCCTGCCCTTGCCGGCCTAGACCTCCACTCAATGCTACAAAGTTTCAATTATAGAAGGTAAATAAATTCCAACAAAAACGGCTGCCACCACCAAGCGAGCAGAGGGCTTGGCTCTGCTCAAGGCTACAAAGTTTTAATTGTAGAAGATATATAAATCCCAGATACCAGGGCCTCTGCTTGGGTCACCAGGGGGCATGGCTGGCCTGCAAACCACCACAGGCCCTTCACCCAGGCCACTCCACACCCCAAGGGAACCCCCACCCTGATCCAGGACATCCTTCGGGGCAAACCAGCAGGCTCCCACCCATGCACCAGACCTCTATCCTATCTAATAAGAGTATGCAGATTGACCATCCAACACACAATATGGCTAACCCCATGTGGTCAAAGATCCTGCCCCCATGTGGACACAAGATGGCCACCACAAGATGGCCAGCAGAGGAGGGCAGTTGGGAGGGACCAGGCCGGCAGAGGAGGGAAGTTGAGGGTGACCAGGCTTGCATGGGATGGCAGTTAGGGGCAAACAGACTGGCAGGGGAGCAGTTAGGCATCAATCAGGCTGGCAGGGGAATGGTTAGGGGTGATCAGGCTGGCAGGTGGAAGCAGTTAGGGGCAATCAGGAAGGCAGGCAGGCGAGTAGTTGGGAGCCAGCAGTCCTGGATTGTGAGAGGGATGTCCCACTGGGATCGGGCCTAAACAGGCAATTAGACATCCCTCAATGTCCCAGATTGGAGAGGGTGCAGGCTGGGCTGAGGGACACCCCCACCCCACACAAATTTCGTGTACCGGGCCTCTAGTGAACAAAATAAACTGATGAACAAAATAGATCCAGAGACATAGAAGCATGGAACAGACTAATAAATTTCAGAAAGAAGGTAGGGGTGGGGCAGTGAGTTGGGAGTAAATAACAGGAAAAACCTATCCTATATAATAAAAGCCCAATATACTAAGTATCCAGTCATCCAATCATCTGTTCAACCAATCAAAGCATAATATGCTAAGGCTACTCAACCACTTGCTGTGACTGTGCAGTGACCACCAGGGGGCAGACAGTCATCCAGTTGATCCATTGCTATGACATACACTGACCACCAGGGGGAAGATGCTCCAACCAGTAGGTTAGCTTGCTGCTGGAGTCCAGCCGATTGGAACTGAGGTGGGCCGGACATGCCCTAAAACCCTCTCAAAGCCCCTCCCCCTGGCTGGCCCCATCCCGGTGGGCCCCCATCAGGGTGGGCCAGCCAGACCCCACCTGTGCATGAATTCATGCATTGGGCCTCTAATATACATATATGAACACAGATAATAGAGGCCTGAGAGGGGCAAGTGTGGGGTGGAGGGAATCAATGGGGGTGGGGGTGGACAAAGGAGACATCTGTAATACTTTCAACAATAAAGAATAAATTAAATGCAAAAAATATATGTATTTTTAAAATTCTATTAAAATGAATTTTTTAAAAAAGTATTTTACTTTGTATCCAGTTAACTTATTTAACTATTTAAATAATAGTCTAACTTTTATGGAAAACTAACAAAGGGCTAGACATTGTTCTAAGTATTTTATGTGTACTAGAGGCCCAGTGCATGAAATTTGTGCACAGGGGAGGCTATGTCTGTCAGCCCAGCCTGGACCTAAATGGGCAGTTGGACATCCCTCTCACAATCCAGTACTACTGGCTCCCAACCGCTCACCTGCTTGTCTGCCTGATTGTCCCTAACCACTCCCCTGCCAAGCTGATCAACACCTAACTGCTCCCCTGCCAGCCTGGTCACCCTTAACTGCCCTCCCCTGCTGGCCTAATTCCTCTCAACTGTCCTCCCCTACAGGCCCAGTTATCCCTAACTGCCCTCCCCTGCATGCCTGATAGCCCCCAACTGCTCTCCCCTGCTGGTCTAGTCACCCCCAACTGCCCTCTCCTGCAGGCCTGGTCCCTTCTAATTGCCCTCCCCTGCTGGCCTGATCACCCACAACTGCCTTCCCCTGCTGGCCATCTTGTGTCTACCTGGGGATGGCCATATTTAACCACATGGGGGGCCATCTTGTGTGTTGGAGTGATGGTCAATTTGCATATTGCGTCTTTATTATATAGGATTAGCTCATTTAATTCTCATAATATCCTTATAAGGTAGACCAGTTACATCTAAGGTAGATATATAAATTCTATAGATGAGAAAAGTGAAACAAAGTAGAATTTCTTAGATTGTTTTTCTAGGAAAACAATCTTTTAATCTGAAAACAAAAATTTTACTATTTACCAATATTTATAATTTTTCATTTTGTTTTCTTATGTTGGCTAAAACTTATAAAACAATATTGAATAACAGAAAAAATAATAGGCATCTTTGTCTATAAAATATTAAAGGAATTAATATGTAAGTACATTCTATTTGTGCAAGTATCTTCCATCCTTAAAGAAATCCTTTCTTCAGCCCCTCTCACCCCTCTCATAAGAAGTCCAAAGGAAAGTGATCTCAGGGTAATTCAGCAGATCAGGAATGTCATCCAGGATATAAGACATTTCTATTCAACTGTCCTTGGCATGTTGACTTTTCCCCTCATGCTTGTAAGTTCCAGAGTTGGTAAGAGGTTTTAATGCAGGACTAGCTGTTCCATTTTGTTGAGGGAGAAAAACTTACCACAGAC